TATGTGATTTTCTGGAATTTTCTTTGGGATTCTGTCTTTCACTGTTATAATGTACATATGATTAAAGTTATAGATCGTTGCATTCTTTGTAAGTGGGCAAACCTGCAAAATCAGCAAGGGGTCAAATACTTATTTCCCCCACTGTAACTACTTACTTAGTTGTCAGACTCATGTTGAACAGGGATTTACTCTGATAACAACTTAATGGTTAGTACACAGACCTGTGGGTTACAGATGCTAATGCTAAAGCTTAAAGGTGTGCTGGAAAATGACTGGACCGTAACAACACAGCAAAGTGGAATGGATTATTCCGCTAGAAAAAACTTTAAAAAAAAAAAACTGGATCTGGACTCTGGATTAGGGATGTCCCGATCCAGCTTTTTTCACTTCCGATCTGATCCCGATCCCGGCCTATCAGATCATGCATTAAAGTTTAAAGTTATTTATCTACTTACTTAGTTATCAGACTCATGTTGAACAGGGATTTACTCTGATAACAACTTAATGGTTAGGACACAGACCTGTGGGTTACAGATGCTAATGCTAATGCTCGTGTGGGATCGGACTTTTACAAAAAACTGGATCTGGTGTCTGGATCTGCATTTTCTCCTGCCAGCTGATGCGCAGTTTTTTGTAAATATCCAGATATCAGATCGGGACACGCCTAGAGTCATTTATTTGTCTTCTTTACATGTTGCAGCACAGGTCTTTCATGGATATTTAATGCTAAAGCCTATAAACTCTGTTCCCACATGTGTGTTTACATTTTAAATGGGAACACAGAGGAGTAACACTTGCCGATCCGATCCAAATATGGGATTGGGACCAGCCTCATGTATTAAGACCTGATGATCTTAGTCTGATTTATCATTTCAGTTTTTGTCCAGAGCAGAAAGACGAGTGGGGCTTTGTGGGGGGGTACCTGAAGGGCGTGGTGAGGACGGTGTTGGGCGTCTGCACCGTCTGCCGCTGGGGGGTGACGCCGCTGAAGTCGCTCTCGTGCAGCGGCGTGTTGAGGCCCCCCTTCAGGGGGGTGTCGATGTTGGTCAGAGCCATCAGGTTCTGGGCTTCCTGAAAGAGGGAGGCCACAAACGTTTAAACAGAAGGAGGCTTAAAGGGGACATATTATGCAAAACCAAGTTTTTAAATCATTTGATTGTGTACATTTGGGACTGTGGAGGGCCTATCAGCAGGCAAAGTGTGAAAAAAAATGACTCAGTCATGTTTTTGTGGGCCGCCTCAGTCTGAATCCAGGAGATAAATCAGGAGGTTTCAGGAGTGGGTAGTTTCTGACCTCATTAGCTCTAGCTCATT